TCTCCCACTCCTCTGGGGGGAGCTGGACTGAGCCTGCAATGCTGTGATGGTCACTCGCAGGGCTGGACGGCATCTCCCTCTAGCGGCGAAAGCTCTAGCCAGCTGTGCCTCCTCGAGACAAATCAGACGCTCCAGGCATCAAGGCCACTTCTACCAAGGGAGTCCTCACCCCAGTGGCCCCAGCATACCCTCAGCCCAGCTGAGAAGCCCAAACAGACTTACACACTCCAGTCCAGCTAGACCTCATCACCGCACTTCGGCAGAGTGAGCCTCTTTTAGCAGGCCAGCCTGCTTGTCGTTAGGGTGTATTTGAGGGAGAGAAAGTGCCACAGCACTTGTGTGGAAGTCAGAGGACAGCTTTCAGGGGTCGGTTCTCGCTACTATGCAGGGCCTGGGGATCAAACTCAGGGTATCGGGGTTGGTGGCAAGCACCTTTACCCTCTGAGCCATCTCACCAGCCCTCAGTACTCTTCAGTATTCCTCTTGCATGTAGTACATGGCTGGATTTTTTTTTTTTTTTTTTTTTTTGGTCTGAGATGGGGAATCTCACTATGTAGGCCTGACTGGCCTTGAACTCACAGAGATCTGCCTGTCTCTGCCTCCCAAGTACTAGGATTAAAGGTGGATCCCAACACCATCAGGCCATGATGAAAGTCAAACTTTCTGCTATAAATTGCTTTTAGTACTGATGTTTTATCAGAGCAACAGAAAAGTAACTAATATACCACATGAAAATACAGCCTTAGGTCTGAAAGAGTTAATGTTATAAAAATTTCAGTTCTCCATAAATTAAAATATAAATTGAACATAACCTATTTTTTAAAAATAGTGATGGGGAATATCCTCTTCTAGCCTCTATGGGCACTACATGCATATGGTTCATGAATATACATGCATGCAAAACACTCACACAAGTAAAATAAAAATAAAAAAAAGTAATTGAACTTTCTTAGGTTGAAAGATTGAAAGGGGAATAAGCTGGGTGGTGGTGGTGCATGCCTTTAATCCCAGCACTTGGGAGGCAGAGACAAGTGAACCTCTGTGAGTTTGAGGCCAGAATGAGTTCTATGACAGGCTCCAAAGCTACACAGAGAAACCCTGTCTAGAAAAATCAAAGGGGGGGAGGGGGGAGAAACCCTGTCTAGAAAAATCAAAGGGGGTGAGGGGGGAATGTGCCTAAGAAGTAGAGATGAATATGATCAAGGCGCTGTATCTGTGAATGAAAATGCAATGAAAGCCATAGCTTTATATAACTAAAGAAAAATGTGGTATAAGGCCTGGAGAGCTGGTTCAATGATTGAGAACACTGGCTACTCTAGCAGAAGATCAGGGTTCAGTTCCCAGGACCCTCATGGCTGCTCACAAGCACCTGCCACTCCAGCTCCAGGGATCAGACACCTTCTTTTGGACTCCTTGAGCACCTGAACACAGTGCTCACAGATGCATCTCAGGCACACACGCCTACACATCAAATTAATTTTTTAAAAAATCTTTAAATATGTAACTGAAAATCAGAAACATGATTTAAACATTTTTCTCCTTCAAATTTTGAAGCTCAAGTCTGTAATGTACACCAATGGCTTGTGTTTTGAATGCTTATTCTCTGGTTTTTGGTGCTGCAGCAGGAAGTTTCAGAACCTTAAGCTGTGTGTGTAGATGGACATTTCTTTCCCACCAGCCAGTTCTCAAGTAACCACACAGAGACTTATTATTAATTATAAATGCTCGGCCAATAGCTCAGGGTTGTTACTGGCTAACTCAACATTTTAAATTAATCCATCTTTCTTATCTATGCTCTGCCATGTGGCTCGGCATCTTTTCTCATGCAGCAAGTTCATGTCCTGTCCCACCCCACTCCCCATCTCCTCACTGCTCCCAAGACTCCTCTTCTGGTTTTTTGTTTTTTTTTTTTTTTTTTTTTTTTTTGTATTTTTGTTTTGTTTTATTGCCAGTCCTGCCTAACCTCTACATGTCCAGCTATTAGCTAGTCATCTTCATTATTAAACCAATCACTGTGGCATATATTCACACACTGTAAAGGAATATTCCACATATGGGGCCTGGCTCACCAGAGGTGAGTCTACAGACTCTTCTGGCCTAGTTCTCTGTGTCATGTTTGCTGTTACTTAAATAAACCTGTGCCACAAGCTCCGTCCACCACAGACCCACTCCCCTAAACCTCCCCTGCTATAACAGGCTGGCATCCCTCTGAAGCTATGAACCAAAGTAGACCTTTCCTTCCTGAAGTTGCTTCAGTAAGCTACTGTGTCACGTCCGATGAAAAAGTAACCAGAAAGCTTGTGAGTATACCTATTTGAGAAGTTACAGACAGGAAATATTTAAATATATATTTAAAACACTCAGAAGATTCTTTAAAATCATAGATGGTATGTACACAAACCAAGATGGCATAGTCTCTGCATATCTTGGCCACATGGTACAACAAGGCTCTTGGGCTATAACACCCGAACAGCATATTGCTATAATGAATACTGTAGGCAACTATTATACAACAGTAAGTATGTATCCAGACACAATGTACAGTAAAAGGTGTTTGTTACATATGTATGTACACATAAAACCTACATTGTGCCAGTTTTGAAATACTGAATTGTGGTAGATATAATTTAAGCCCAATTTTATAGAACTAATCCAGCTCAGTTTATAAATAAATAATAGAGGTTAATTTGACTCATGATTCTAGACACAGGGAAAGTCCAAGCATATGGCACTAGCATCTGCTGAAGGCCTACTTGCTACATTATATCATGGTGGAGAGACTCCATTTTAAGAACTAATTTAAAAATAATCATAATAATAAAACATTTAAAATAATGCATCACTAATGATGATGACACATTGAAGAGTACATCACTGGATGATTCCATGGCTATTCATTCATAGTGTGTATGTATACAAACCAAGATGCCATAGCCTCTGCATTCCTTGGCCATGTGGTACAACCTTTTGCTCTTAGGCTACACACCTGCACAGCATGTTATTGTACTGAATACCATAGGCAACTGTAATTACAGCAGTATTTATGTATCTAGATACAATGTACAGTAAAATACAGTCCAACAGTTTTAAGTTGAATGCCTGGATAAATCACTTTCCTTGGCTGGAGCCTACAGAACAGGGACTCTAGTCATGTGGTGAGTGGTGAGTGATGGGCCTGGGACATGTCTGAGCACTGCTGTACATGGCACGCACACATCAGCCACTCTAAACAGACTATGTCCCATATCCTGGGCTGGGTCCTCAGCACCATGAAAAATAAACTTGCTTCAATCATAAAGTAACCTTAGCTCACTATAACGTTTTTACTTTACAGTCTTCTTAATTTTTAAATTTAGCCTAAAACATAAACATGCCAGTTTGGTTGGCCCATGCCTGTAATCACAGCTGGGCAGACTGAGGCAAAAGGCTTATGAGTTTGAGGCCAGCCTGGGGAAAAACCTACAGAGACATTGTACACATTGTACACTGTATAAGAAGTGTGTGTGTGTGTGTGTGTGTGTGTGTGTGTGTGTGTACATACAAATATTCTTATTATGTAAGCTTTTCCTAGTCTTTAAGCACTTCTGTTAAAAATTAACACATTCAATAAAAAATAAAAAAATTGCACATTTTAACCCATATCTGCACAGGTCAAGGCCATCAGTATTACTGACTTCAATCTCCACATATTGTCCCACTAGAAGGCCTTCAAGACCATCATCCCCGAGACACCACCACCTTTTTCTGGCATCCCTCATACAGGACCTGCCCAAAGCTTCTCTTATGTGACACACACATGGTGACCTGCTTGGCTTCTCTGCTGACGAGCAGGTGGCACATTATTAGGGACCTCAGTGGTGGGGGTCCCTGTTTGCAAAGCTTCTGAGGCCTGCAAAGCCTGTGAACCCTTAACCGTGCGTTTTCTTGGCGTTCTGTTCTCTTTTCCTCTAACCTCCTTTTCACTTTCCCCTGTCTCTCCCTCTTTTCCTCGGTTATTTTTTCTCTTGTCCCTCCAGTCACTCGTTTCTGTCCCCATTTTGTTATAATCTCTGAGGACCACTGATGTCCATGCAGCCTGTCATCAGCTGAAGTGTTAGTGCACAGCACAAACCTGTGTAATATTTTCTTGTATGAATGAACCAAATCAGCTTTGTGTTGATTTTTTTTCTTTTCAATTTGAGTGCTTTTGTTGTTGTTTTGGTTTGGTTTTTCGAGCCTGGGGAGACTGGGTTTCTCTGTGTAGCCAAGGCTGTCCTGGAACTTGCTGTGTAGATCAACCTGGCCTCAAACTCACAGAGATCCATCCGCCTCTGCCTCCTGAGTGCTGAATTTGAGTGCTTTTTAAAATGTGGACATAATTTTGTTTAGCCAGGGTTAGATTATTTAAATATATGAAGATAAAATAATAAAAACACTAGAAGAAAATAATCTCAACCCAAGGGAAACTTTATTGAAGTAACATTGGAAACACAAACAACTTTTTTTTCAATTAAAGCTTTATTGTAAAGAATTTGCAAGTAAGAAAAAAGAATCACACATAAAAATTAGTCAAACCCAAAGTCTATGCATTTCAGTAAATGTCCATGGATCTGAGACAGACACTCTGACACTGTGGGCCTTCACACTTTCACTATCCAATATGTTTTTTTGCACTTACCCATCACCAAAATATCCATGATAGAGTTGAAAGTAGAACAAAGTTAATTTTATATCTTCTTTCATGACACAAGTGTCCTTTACCTGAATTCAGTCCATCCTCACTCCCTAATATTTACCCTTTCTTGTTCTCCTTTTTACATATTATATATTTACCCATACGTACATTGTTTACATATGCACACATATGCATAGGCACATATATATGTATGGATGTATATAACAGGAGTTATTTGCCAAATGAGTCCAGGAAAAATAGGCAATATCTCTCAGCCAAGACCCTCACCCCAATTCCTCTCTCCAGTTATACCTCACTTGACCATTCAAATCACTTCCAAACTTCCTGTATCCTGAGGCTCTCTTCAACTCCATCACTCTTTGAGCAACCCCAACAAGTGCCTAAATAGAGAGACAGTCTTAGAAGACTGGAAAGCTTCATCTAATGTGTCTCTGTGCTTTCAGGAGTGTGAGGCCACAAGCAGCAGAGCCAACATTTACATGAAATTCCTGGTGCTGCCGACAGCATGCAAATCCTGATGTCACCTGGCGGTAGCTGCTGTGCCCTAGCCATTCTTCTGGCAGTTGTGGACTTCCAACATGGTGGTGAGGATAAGTTCCAGAACAGAGACAGACATTAGGAGAATCCAGGGCTCAGGGGAAGGATGCTCCCTGTGCATGTTTTCTTATAGGAAAAAGTCTCAACACGAGCACTGACTTTTCTGTGAAGATTCCCTGATTCTTTCAGGCATGCACAGGAACCAGTAAGCTTCCAAATTATAGTAATTGCATAATTTGGTAGTAATCTTTTATTTTGTGGTGATTGCTTGATAGGTAGATGATAATAGGTAGGTAGGTAGATAGATAGATAGATAGTAAATAGATAGATAGATAGATAGATAGTAGATAGTAGATAGATTTAAATATGCTTGGTGCTATCAGGGAAGCAGCACGTTCCTGCCTGCTTTGCCCATTCCCATGCTCTGCGATGCCATGTGCTTTACCCACCTCGGTGCCCTGCGATGCCAGGGAAAGCTGCAACCTGTGAAGAAGAGATTTGTGCCCACCTGGTGCCTTCAGACCATGGGGCCTATAAACCTTAAAACTGTAGAATAGAAGACCAACTTCCTGCAAACCCTTTAAGAACATGTATTCATAGACTTTGACGTGTGCCTGTCAAGACGTAAGGAGAATAAGCGCTTGGAGACATCCCACCACGGCCATGAGACAATGTTCCCTCACAACACCTGGTTTTGACCCTGCGGTACAGGGGTTGGAGCTTTCATAGACATTGATTTGGGCATCCCCATTCATGTCTGACTCCTTCCTCTAAAACCTGTGCCCAGTCTAACCACACGCAAGGAAAATAAAAACATCCAACTCATGAGCAAAACAATGTACAATTTAATTAGGATATAAGATTTCTGATAACATAAAACCACCTGTTCAAATCTATTTTTGGAAACCTGTACAGAGTGCAAAGGCATGTGGATGTAAATTCTCAAAGCAGCTGAAGAGCTAGGGAGATGGCTCAGGAGTTAAGATCACTGGCTGCTCTTGCAGAGGTCCTAGTTCAGTTCCCAGCACCCACATAGTGACTCACAACCATCCATTACTCCAGTTCCAGGAGTCCATCACCCTCTTCTGACCTTGAACACCAGACATGTACATGGTACATATAGACACATGCAGGCAAAACACTCATACACATAAAAGGAACAACTTGTTTTTAAAAAATAATGCAGATTAAGTAATTTTCTAATGTTGTATTTTAAAAAAGCCTAAAAAAACAAAAACAAAACCCTGTGCTGGGAAAACATCTTAACTAGTAAAGTGCTGGCCAAACAGACACAAAAATGCCAGAGGTAGTGGCTGGCGTGCACCCAGCACTGGAGAAGTGGTGATAGGAGCATCCTCTGGGCTTGCTGACCAGCCAGTCTAGCCAAACACCCTGTCTCAAAGGAGGTGAAGTGTTCTTGAAGATGCCACTGAGGCTGTCCTCTGACCTACACAAAATACACTACACACATAAACTACACACACACACACACACACACACACACACACACACACACACACACACACGAAAGCAATCATTTCCCATTGAGGTCTTTGTCCTTTGGAGATGGCTAGAAGGGCAAAGCAACAGTCGATGCTTCACCCACGGGCAGACTCCCACACAGTCTTGCAGCGGCACCATCACTGTTCTGGAATCCCTCCAGATTCCTGTGACAGGAGGCAACAGGCATGAGGCACACCAGTTCCATCTGACAGTCATACACTGGCCGTGATTAATCGGTATCCCAAGGTGATTCATGGCTCCAGCAGTATCCATGCAGATGCTAAAAATAGTACGATAACATGTAGCAACCCATGGAGGGATCTTCTGCATACACAGCCCCCTGACTCTTGGTGTCAGTGAACCAGGTGAGGTCCCCTGGCATTTCACCACCACAAAGATGCCCTGACAGACCTGCTTGGTGGCCGCCATGCTCCTGTCTTCCATTGACAAGTCAATCTGCATGCCTTCTTCCTTGCCATTGTCAATCAACTCATCTAACCTTTTCCTTCTTCGGATTGCTCAGCTTTGCTCCCCTGAGGCTCCTTTGGACAGCTAGAAACCCATGTTTGCTGCTGTTTGCATTCCCTGACCCTTATTTTGGGGGGCCTGTTTGTCCTTGTGGGGTTTCTGCAGGGCTTGCCTGGCCACAGCTCCATTGGTAGACTTACACCACAAGTTTCTAAGGCTTCATCGCTTCTGATCTTTAGCTTGAAAATATGCCCGAGACCCTCTCCACCCTCTCCTGGCACACTGATCTGTCCTACCTTCCTGGAGCTGCTTCTTGCAGCCACACCAATTTCATTTCCCTCCTCACTTCCTGTACATTCCCACTAAGGCCTTTCCAGATGTTTAACTTTATGATGTACAACTGATTTCTCTTCCCAAAGTAGGAATGTTTCAGAGCACTTGTTTGCATTCTTACAAGAATGGATTTTCGCCCTGCAAACATATCCTTCCCATTGGTATAGGGCCTCTCCCCAGCCCATCCACTCTACCACGTCCAGACCCAGGGACATCGCTGCCACTGCCTCTGCCTCTACCCAGAGGGGTTTGCATGTCTTGCCTTTACCCTGCTTGCTCTGAAACTGCCTGGGATCTGGATTGCAGTATTTTGTGAATCTTTTAAATTTTATTTTATCTATTATTATTATTATTATTATTATTATTATTATTACTTGTTTTTTTGAGACAGGGTTTCTCTGTAGCTCTGGCTGTCCTGGAACTCACTTTGTAGACCAGGCAGGTCTCAAACTCACAGACATTGCCTGCCTCTGCTTCTCTAGCACCGGGACTAAAGACATGCACCACCACCGTCTAGCTTATGATTTGCTAAGTTTTACACTGGGCTGTTGTACACGAGAGCAGAGCTTTGATGGTTTGAATGAGATGTCCTGAATAAGTCTTGGCATTTGAGTACTTGGTCCCCAGTATTTGGGAAGATTTAGGCTGTATGGCCCTGCTGGAGGAGATGTGTCATTGGGGGCTAGGCTTGGGATTTCAAAATCCTCTTACCATTCTCGGTGTTCTCTCTCTCTCTCTCTCTCTCTCTCTCTCTCTCTCTCTCTCTCTCTCTCTCTCTCTCTCTCGGTTTAAGATGTGAGCTCTCAGCTGTTCCTACCCTCGCTCTGCCAACATGGACTCTAAGCCTCCCTGAAAAATTAAACATGTACCGGGCATCATGGTATAGACTCTTTATATGTATGCATCTGGTTCCTTAAGTCTCATCTCTCAGGAGAATTAAGGGAGGCAGGCAATGTGCTTATTATCACAGGGACAACCAGAAGTTGGGTCTCCCATCTGCCAGTGTCACTGTCAGACTGTGCTCTACTGACAGGGACCAGCTAGGTGTGACTTAAGGAATCCCCCCTGGATTCTCATGGATAACTTCTACACTCCCATTCCAGGATGCATGCTTGTCACCAGCTCAGCATCCCACAAAGAAGGGCAACTGGAATTCACCTGTACTTTGTGGCACGAGAAAGACGAAGCCGAGGGGCTAATACTCTTCTGGTGCAAAGACAGGCCTTGGGACTGTTCCCCTGAGACCAGCTTACAACAGCTAAGGGTTAAAAGGAACTCCAGGGCAGAGGGCATCACTCAACAGTCATCTCAGTTGGTGCTCACCATAAAACAAGCCACACCACTAGCCAGTGGGACCTACCAGTGCTGCGCCAGAAGCCAGAAGCCAGAAATCCACGTTCATGGTCATTTTCTCTCTGTTCTAGTCACGGGTGAGTCCCTAATAACCAAACACCACCAGGGGAGCAGTGATCAGGGCTGACAGTGGGAGCTTCGAGTAGTGATTTGAAGTCCTAGATAGCAATCCCTTTGAGTGTCCTTCCTTGCTGTTATCCAGTCCTCTGCCAGCCTCTCCCTGTCTGATATACCTATAGTAAACCTTTCTTCAAAGTATATTTGTCACTACTACTCAGCATCTTTCTAGAATGGCCCTTTCATTCTCATTAGAAGACTGAATCACAAGGAGATGAAGAGATGTATTTAATGCCACTCATTGTCTGGACTAGTAAAATTACAGGTCTAGAACCCAGGCCTTTTGATGCCTACTCTGTTCTCCCAGAGAAGAGGCTATATTTCATCAAATACACAGAGATGGGTTTAAAATAAAGTGGGTGATTGCCTGAAGAAGCATCTGACTCTAGAAATGAACCTACTCAAACTACTGGACTAAAACAGAAAAATAAAGCAAAGAGCGTGGATAGTCCCCATGAGTTCAGTTTTTTAGAACCAGGAGTCAGAAAGTTGACAGAACACCAAACTGTCATTCTGGGTCTCAAGCTCACTCAAAGGAGCAAGGCTTCTGTCTCTACCTAAGTCCTTCATGGTGTGTCTGCCTCCCCTGCCCCCTTACCACCCTAGGGAACCCAAATGTGACAACTCTAGCCAAGTTTTACAAAGGGCCCATCTGAGATCGAGCCTCCAGAATTCTGTGAAAATGTTACCCTTCTACTTAGAATTCTGTATTCAGCCAAACTACCCGTGTGTGAGAAGGGTGGCACTGTTGAATGTGCAGTGGCTTTAAAAGGCTTGCTGTTTAAACAAACAAACATCATCCTAGCCTTCCGCCCACGGTAAATAAAAACCTGAGCGGCAAGGCCTCTTAATAAACATCCTTTTTCTCTTCTACGGTTACTCATCTCTCACATGCTCCAGTTGGCTCTATTACTTCCTCCCTCCCTTGCTTGCTGCTACCTGCCTATATGACCTGTCGCTCAGCACTTGTAACTCTTCTTTCTTCCACTGAAACCCTCTCCTCTGGCTCCTGTGAGTGTCCTCTGACTTGTTTACTTTCTCTATTTCCTCTATTTGCCTCTATTTCCTCCTCCCATCTAGCAAACCCATGTCCTCACCTAATCTAATCCACCTTTCCTACCCTACCCCACCCCGAGTGTGCATCCACTCTGATTTAACCCTGCACTCCTTTCTGACATTTTAACTAAACACCCCAGGAAGAACTGGACCACTTCCTGGCAGCACTCCCATCTCCTCAAACTTGTCTTCTTGAGATTAGCATCTGTCCACGACTCTCAGTCAATACCCTGGTTCCTCGGTTTCTTCACCCATCTAGTAAATTACTAGTTTTTCCCTACATTTATTATTTCCTTTTCAAATGTTTTCCAGATCTCTCTCACATCATAGTTAAAACGTCCCTCTTGATTTTAACAAGGGAGGTCCTTGAGATTGCTGACATTTCTCTTTCAGACTTGTTACAGGACCCACTGTTCAATAAATGGGCCAGCAACTCTAAGTATTGTCCCAACGCACTCTAGATTGCCCCCAGACTTATCTAGAAGGTCAACTTGCATGCTCTATGCTGTCACTCAAATAATTAATGGCTTCTCGGTGTCTACAATGTCTAAATCATGTTCACTTAGTATGAGGTTCTAGCCCATCAGTTCTCAACATGTGGGTCACAACTCCTTTGGGCGGTCACATATCAGATAGTTACATTACAATTCATAACAGTAGCACAATTAGATATGAAATAGCAATTTTATGGTTGGGGTCACCACAACATGAGGAGCTGTATTAAAGGGCTGCAGCGTTAGGAAGGTTGAGAGCCACTGCTCTAGGCAATTTCATTGTATTTACTGAGCCACTCTGCTCCAGTAAAACTGCAAGAGTGGCCATTCCCTGCCCACTCTTCATTCATTTAATGAATATACAGTGTGCATCCTGAGCACAGTGCCCAGCGCTGGACAACAGAACAGGGTGCAACAGTCCTTGCTCCTAATAACCCAGTGTCCAGTTTCCTGATACACCCAGGAGTTTCTACTTGAGATGACAAGGAAGCTATTTAAGCATTCAGCACAGATGATCGTCAACTGCAGAAGTAAGTTTTCTTCCGGAAAATAAGAGCAGACAGGTAACGGGTGGCACTGATAAGCAATGTCCTCCGTGTACTGAGTGCTTAGCATGTACGAGGCACTGTGCTGGCATTACTCGCCACAGACTTTGAGTTGTCGTGTGACAACCCATCCTCAGCGTTCACTCAGAGAGGCAATACAGAAGTTCCAGCCATATTCCAGCACCCAAGATTTTAACATATGCTAAATTACTTGACCCATTCCAGAGGACTGTTTATAATGAATGAAATCTAGGGAAACCCAAGTCCAAGGTAAACTGGTTTGCCTTTCTGTAAAACCTCCAGAGCTCCTCTGAGGTCTGCTTGCATCTCTTGTATCTGCTGGATTCTGTCTTTATTTACTAAGCTTAAGCCTATCATCATAGCCCACAGATATCAACAATATTTATTCAGTGAAGTATGCTGCCAGGCATTCTTTGAGATCACATGGGAAACACTACAAGAGCTCTGACTTCTGACACCCTCTCCTGATGCATGATTCTCTTTTGAACCTGGAACAGGGAACCACACCGAGATAACACAGAGACAAAGGCAGCACCCTGGCTTCGGCTATATTGAGAGCACCCTCAGTTCCGGCTTCCTGCAAGTCAAGGCCTGTGGGGTACTGGTCGCCAGCCTGGTGGCCCTTCAAGGTACGTCCAGAAGAGAGTTCAGTGCTCCGAGCTGTGCGTTTGTACCCTTGCCAGCTGGATTACTGCCTAGGAGGGAAAGTACAAGGGAGCTCAGAGGGAGGGGAAATGTCCCCCAAGCCCTGGCTATCTGCAGCAAAGTGCAAACCAGTGTGTGGGCGAAACTGGATTAAAGAGACTAAAGTCCTTGTAGTTCTCTATCTACATGGAGACAGATGACTTGGACTTTCCTCCGCATAAGAGGTCAGACCTCTTAGGAAAGGCCTGTGGGAGACCACTAGAGATGCCTCCACTCATTCAAAGAACACAGAACCACAGTTCAGCAACAGGTCTCTAGCTACTACACAAAGAAGAACAAGGCAGGAGACAGGGCCGGTCTGAGGTGGGATTTGAACACAGCTCCTCCACAGAGCTGATGACCATAATGAGTTTTAAAAGACTGAGACATTTAATCATTTGTCACCAGGCTTTTGCATAACGAATAACTGATGCACGTTTTTGACTGTCCTTGGCAGTCAAAGGGGCCAGCTTCCACACTGGGGATAGCGCAGACTGACTGTTTACTCGTACGGAATGCAAGGCTCCCTAGTGTGTCAAGCTATATTCTCGTTAATAAATGTTATTTCTTCAGGCACAGTACAAACTCAAAGGGGAAAATGAGTCCAGCCTTACACTACCACCACCGCCTCTGACTCCAGGGTCCTCCCAGAACAGCAAAAGTCTCTGCTCCTGCTTCCCTTTCCTAGTCAAGAAGGAAACTTTAAATTCAATTATTTATATTCTCCTGTGCTCCGGGAAATTTAAATGTACACAAAAGAAAAAAAAAAGCTAAATCATATGCTACTTATGTTATAAAGCTGTGTGAGAGAGATTGAGATGTGTCTCCCCATGCAGCCCCGACTGGCCTCCAACTCGCAGACCTCCCCAGGCATCCGACCACTGGGTTACAGATGTGAACAACCACTCTAGCTTTTCCTTTTCTTCATCTTCCTCCAACTCAAGGCTTAGCAGAATGATGGAAGAGGGAGCACTCAGCGGAAAGACGCACACATTTCCTTGGGCCTTAGCCATATCATGGAGACCAAGTTATAATGCTTTCTTTCACGTGAGGTTAAAGGTGGAGGGGTTTCCCGGATCCCTGTGCCTCCCTCTGTGCCCCCACATGACACAGGTGTTATGCCCATACATTTCCCCATCCCCTTTCTAGTCACAAGAGCCTATCAAACAAGCACACATCTCAGGACAGGTGAGAGCTCTCAAATCAGGTGTTCAGTTTTACAGCTAGTCTAAGTTGTGAGGTAATAATACAAACCATTCATTTTCTTTCACAGCTCTATAAACCTTGTGGCAAAAAAGAAACCCTTCAAAAGGTACAGCAAGACAAATCCGACAATGCACGCAGAGAAGAATGGTACAGGGAACGGATGCTAAGCAGTCCAGGAATCTGGAGGGCTAGTAAGACGGCGCACACAAGAACAGGGGCTTGCCTGCCAAGCTTCAGCTCAAACTTTTGCGCCCACACAGTGGAAGGACAGAACTGACTCCCACAAGCTGTCCTCTGACCTCCACAGGAGTGCTGTGCCCCAACCCCAATAAACAGAACCGTTCCAAGGATCCACAGAGCTTTGGCACACCCTTTTGGGTCTCCCCTCTTACCGCCAGCACAAGCTTGCCTTCTCCCGCCTCAGTGCTAATAAAAATAACATTTTGCAAATGTGGCTGGTGTGCTGTCCTTAAATACCATCTATGTTTTATACCACAAAATAATGTTTCATCTCTGCTGCACACAGTAAAGTAAGCAAGTTTTATTTTTTCAGTTTAATTGCCGTTGAATTATTTCCAATTTTATGCCATTGTTTTCATTGTGTATAATTTAAATAACGGAGCATGAACACATTAAAACTTCCAAACATCAGCTTGAAATTATGTTTCAATACAGTAAATGTTTGTGTATATCATGTTCACATGCATCTACTGGAGAGATACCTTCACATATATGTAGCATATGGTACCTGTATTCACATAATGTTCATATACTGTGTACCATTAAGGTACATGTGATGTGTAAAGATGTAGTACTTTGCATATATTAACATCATATCTTCATGTTTTGTATTTCAAATAAACTACTATATTGAGTATACACATTCTATTCACACCTGCTCTATCTGCAGTGACATTTTGATGGCAATGGAGTAAGTTTTAATAGTATGTGTGTGTATGGTGGCTGTGTGAGTGCACACTGAACACACATGGAGGTCAGAGGACAACTATTGGGAGTTGGCTCTCTCCTTCTACTGTTAGGTCTGGAGATCATACTGAGGTAGCCAGGCAGGTCCAAGTGTTTTTAGCTGCAAGCTGTCTCACCAGCCCCAAATAAGCAAGAAAACAACAACAAAACCACCAGGCCTGGAGAGATGGCTTAGTGGCTAAGTGCAATCACAAAGACTGGAGTTTGGCTCTCAGGACCCATGTGACAAGCCAAGAGTTCCCATAAACACCTGTAACCTCAGCTTCAAGGGGCCAGAGACATGAGGATCACTGGGGCTTGCTGAGTTTCAGCCTAGTGGAGGAAATGTGAGATGGTAGGTACCTCAGAGGAACAGGTAGAGTTTGATGAAGGGCACCCAATGCCCTCTTCTGGCCTCCACATGCACCTGCACATATACAGAGAGAGAGAGAGAGAGAGAGAGAGAGAGAGAGAGAGAGAGAGAGAGAGAGAGAGAGAGAGAGAGAGAGAGAGAGAGAAATGGTCAAAAATGAAAATGCCTTATTTAAAAAGAACTGTTTATTTAACACTGTGAAGGGGGAAAAAAAGACCAAACAAGCACAATGGCAGGATGGGGTGGGGGGTGGGAGGCAGGGACAAGAACAGAGTATGTGACTGACTTGATAGGAAAACAGAAAATAAAATAGCAAGGCTCATGCTAGCTCAGTGTACTCCACACACTGCTAGAAGTGGGGAACTCATGCGGGCCAGGAGCACTGCAGACTGAAACTGTCTACCTTCAACAAAGAACCTACAGCATCTTTGGTCGCTAATCTTTTTCAAAGATGCTCAAAGCAGTTATTTGCAGGCTTTTCTTGTTCCTAAACTCACAGACCCTCTTTGACTTTGGACAGATAACCTCCTGTCACAAGCAGAACAAGGGCAGACTATTTCCAACAGCAGGGACTACATGAATGAAAAGATACCAATAGACAATTGATTGGAGTCCAGTGGCAAGCCACCAAAATAGACACCTCGATTGTCATCTTTTTGACATTAGACCTACCAAATGTGGGAACTAAGATTTGTGAAGACCAAGATCCAAGGTTGACATGTTGTGGTAATATCTTTAATAGGGTGGTCTTGAACTCCAAACTAAAGACTTTTGCCTTTGGCTCTGCAATGTAATAGCTGCATGTCTTTGGGCAAGTAAAACTTATTTTCATTTCATGAATTTGAATGTTTTGCCTGCATGTATGTGTGTGCACAAGAATGCCTGGTGCCCAGGGAAGCCAGAGAAGCCATCAGATCCCCTGTCCTGCAATCACAGACAGGCGTGTGAGGGGCTATCACCTACAGTGTTTTCCTAACAAACAAGTGAAACTCTAGCTTTGGAACCCAGAGACATCTGAGTCCTGACTCCAACGTTTCAAAACTATCTCTAATCCATTACCTTCTTTATACTCTCTTCTACCTGTGTATGGTTTAAACTAAATTTGAAGCTCATTTAGCTTAAATTACCCTTCAGAGGACTTTCTGTAACTACTCAGCTCCACAGAGTCTCCTCAGCACCACAGCCAACTACAGGGAAGACTCCACACACCATACTGTATCAACTAGAGTGCACTCACAGATTACACACAAGACACATGATCTCTGCTCATTTATCAAGACATTCAAGCATTGGACTAAGCAGAATAAATTAGTATCCATAAAGCAAATGTCTAAAGAATCTGTTTATTCTGCTTATTTTGAGATTCAGTTAAGCAGAAATTGGAAATACTGTCTTGGTTTTAAAATGTGCTCACACAACCAATTTCAATTTTAAATGAACTCATAAATCTGTATGAATAATTCACAACTTGTGAAGCTACTGAGCTATTACAAAGAACCTATAAGGCTATTTTCTTCTGTTCAAATACATATCTTACATATATGTATATATATCCAGTTCCATGTACATACATATACTTATATGTATATGCATACATATATATGTAACTGATATAACTAATAATATATACATATATGCATAACTAATATAACAAAATCAAACTGATTTAAATACAGAAATCACAGCAGCCTTTTGCTATACCTATTCACCAAAAATTTCTAGAAATCTCTCTCTCTCTCTCTTTGCTGGAAGGCTCTCTAATAAATTTTAGGTCTTACAAACTGTACTTCTGGCTGGGCATGGTGGTGCACGTCTTTAATCCCAGCATTCAGGAGACAGAGGCAAGATGATTTCTGTGAGTTCTAGGTCAACGTGATCTACAAAGTGAGTTTTAGGAAAAGCTACAACAGATAACTTTATTTGGATACCATTTAATTTGTCAGAAGGCAAAATTTATATGTAAAAAAAAATCTCAAACTTGAATGTCTACAGTTCCTCTTGTCTGGGGCATCTTCTAGCTCAGCTGAGAGCTACACTTGGTCCTGGAACATGCCCCTAGTCATAAACACTGTATTCTAATTTCCATTAAGAACCTCTGGGGCAGCCTTGCAGTACCCAGCCTGCGTGCCCAGACAAGGGCACTAGTATCAGCCAGAATTTCCTCCCACAGGAATGACACCATTCCATTAAAACTTCCAAGCTCCACAAATAGACTCCAGAGATTCATTTACCCAACTTTCACATCTCCATTAGTCTCATAAACAGCACTGTATTCGTCAGGGTTCTCTAGAGTCTAGAGAATCTACAGGAACAGAACTGATAGAATACATACATACATACATATATATATTCATATAACATAATAATTCATATGTATTCATATAATACATTGCATGTACATATGTGATTACTAGAGTAGCTTACAGGCTGTGGTCCAACTAGTGTAGTAATGGCTGTCCAATGGAAGATCCAAGAATCTAGTAGTCACTCAGTCTACCAGGCTGGATGTCACAGCTGGTCTTCAATATACGCCAGGATCCTGAAGTAGGCTCTAATGCCAGTGAAGGAATGAAATTGACATCAAGAGCAAGGGGAAGCAGGCAAAGAGCAAAAGCTTCTTTTTTCCATGCTCTTTATACAGGCTGTCACCAGAAGGTGTGGTCTAGATTAAAGGTGGGTCTTCCCACCTCAAAAGATCCAGATTATATTACCAGAGAACAGTTCAAAACCAGATATCTGAGAACTTACAAAACTCACATATCAATTGTTAATAAATTTATATTGAGATAAAGAAGGCATTTAATCTACAGTCATTCTTTTAAATTACATGTATATGTGTCTCTTTGTTGAGATTTTGTCATAGGCATATACACGGGTGTCTGGGGAGGCCAGAAGAGGTCACAGCATGCCCTGGAGCTACAGTATTGGGCAGCTGTGAGCCACTTGACATGGGTGCTGGGCACTGAACTTGAGTCCTCTGCAAGAGCATATGAGGTCTTCTTCTACTCCTTCTTTTTTTGTTTTTTGTTCATTTATTTTTGAAGACAGGGTTTCTCTGTGTAACCTTTGGCTGTCCCAGAACTAACTCCATAGACCAGGCTGACCTCAAACTCAGAGATCCACCTGTCTCTGCTTCATGAGTGCTGGGATCAAAGGTATGTGCCACCACGGCCTGGCAAAAATAGATTCTTTCCACATACAATATATCCTGATTATAGTTTCCCTCCCTCCACTCCTCTCAGTTCCTCCCCATGGCCCTTTCCTCCAGCTCCACTTCCTTTCCATCTCTCATTAGAAAAGAACAGGCTTCCAAGAGATAACAAATGGTCATGGTAAAATAGAATGTAATAAGATGAAGCAAAAACTATCAATTGAAGTTGGACATTGCAACCCAGCAGGAGGAAAGGAGTCCCAAGAGCAGGCACAAGCGTCATAGGCCCATCCATTGTCATGGCCATGAGTTCCATAGAAATACTAAGCTAATAGCTAAAACATACATGCAGCGGACCTGGTGCAGACCCATGTAGGCTCTGTTCTTGTTGCTCCCATCTCTGTGAGTTTACATGTGTCTTGCTTAGTTGATTCAAAGCCCTTGTTCTCCTAGTGTCCTCCAACCACTCTGGGTCTTACAGTCTTTCTGACTCATTTTCTGAGGGATTCCCTGAGCTCTGAGGGGATTGACTTGGTGGAGACTTCCCATTTAGACTCTCTCTCTCTCTCTCTCTCTCTCTCTCTCTCTCTCTGCAAAATTTCTGGCTGTGGGTCTTTGCATTCTTTGAATCTGCTACAGGAGGAAACCTCACTGCTGATGACTGGATAAGACACTGATCTATGAGTATAGCAGAATATCATTAGGGATCATTTTATTGATAGTTTTTTTCTTTTCTTTTTAGATCAGTAGTGTTTGGTTTTACCCTAGGTCTCTGGGTTATCTAGTCTCTGTTTCTTGGTTATCCAAGCAGTGTCAGGCAGTGGGTTCCCTCTTACCTGACACTGCTTGGGGCTTAAGTCAAATCAAACATTGGTTGGCTACTTCCACAAGTTCTGTGCCACCATTGCTCTAGCATAGTTTGCAGGCAGGATAAATTGTAGGTCAGAGGTTTTGTGGCTGGGTTGGTGTCTACATTTTCATTT